CGCGAGCTGTCCGACTGTTTTGCAACAATAATCTTCTTCGAACGATGCGAAAGAATAAACTCGATGTTGAACAATGGTATTGTAATAAACGCACGCGTGTCGACAATGGCCATTATACGGCTGAAAATTAGAATGATTCAATCCTCCGGGCAAGCTTTTCAACGAACAATACCGGGGAGCTGCGCTGTTTCAACGGTGAATATTTTAATTGAAAACTCGCGCCGATGGAACGTGACGCGATAGCAATTTGCGCTACCTACCATAATTTGCGTTGATCGAGTTTTAATCAGTGAGAAAGTAGTATCAACGAATCCAATCCACTCGTCGTTGTTTACAACATAATTATCACCAAAGAATATTTTTATTGCAATCAAACACGCTTATACGCTATTTAACGCTAGTCAAAATGACTATTTTAAATTAGAAATTTGATCGATAAATTTTTCTTGGAATTTATGTTGATTTTCATTTAGAATAGTTCTAGCGTTGATACTAATTTTTTATTGAAAAAAAAATCGTAAAAAACATAACGCACCTGATCGGGAATCGAACCCTTGTTTCCCGGCTAGTCGGCGACATTATTGACTATACTACTGCCACTTCTTCCAAACTATAGAATATTAATTACGCTTTATATACAACGACGAGAATTTGATTACTCTTGAAATTATACGCGTTGTTACTCTGTTAACTCGCGAGAATATCTCCGTTGACCAATTTCCCGGTGAATACAGTGACAGCTGACGAGACGAAACCGCACAGGAAACCGTGCGCGTTTTAGCGAATTCGTGACAGGAGAAACAAGCGAGGAATTCAACAGGATATATTCGCGTGACAGAAACAAGTCGTTTACGTTTGCTGGTTGTAGCGAAAAGAATTTATAGCACGCGAAAAGTTGCATACTTGAAGCAACTTGTCGTACCGGAAGTAACGAGCTGGAACGATCGCAGCATGAGATAACGGGTTACACAAGTGGCTGGTCCAGCTTTTCTCGCGACAATGTTACGTAGCCGAAGACCGTAGAAACACGGAGCACGAACAGCTATTTCCAGCGCCTTGATGACCATACAAAAGAGGCCTGCTGAGAACACATAGGTAGCTCAACAGGTAGCACTGAAAGTACCTTTCTCCCTCTCGCTTTTCCACTCTAGCCTCCTTTTATGCTCGACGAGTCCGCTGCCTACGCACCCACCTTTTTTCCCTTTCGATTCGACACCTTTCAACTCGACGTCACTCCCGACACGTCGAGATCGTCCGTCTACCGGAAACTCGATAAAACATCGGATACGGTGTGTTCGGGCTATAGACAGTTAATAAATCTCGAAGGGGGATGTTAACGAGGGGGTTCGCGAAGATCCCGGAACCGCCAAGTGATTTCAACCCCTCGGAGAGAAATTATTCCAGGGGAAGTAACGAAATAGCGATAGTGCTAACGATCGAAGCTCAATTAGCCCGTTATCCCTGCCAATGAAATTCCCTAGCCCTTTTTCTGCCCGACCGACTAACGTTCTGCATTCAGAGGCGAATTAAACGGGAGTCAAACCGTATCGAACGAAAAGTTCGTTCCCCGTTGACGGTGCAAGTCGAGCGGAACGCTCGATCCAGGACACCAGTCGATAAAACGAAAAATAAAAAAATAAAAAAAAAAGAGAGACTGCCAGAGCTTCTCTTCGCTTGACGTTTCACGGGTGCTCAGGCACGTTCGTTGAATCCCCGTTGTTCGGCCATCGATAATGCGAATGAATATTCAGTCGACCATCGGAACTCGACTGATAACGGATAATCCCGGTGCGTCCAAGGGAACTGGGTAATGGTAGATTTACTATTTCACGATGGAACCTTGTATCAAAGTAAATAAGACAACCCCATAGGATTTTTGTAATCGCGTATACGATGAAAGAGGTACTACTAAATTCTACAGAGATAGATGTTTGTAAATGGATAGGAAATCGTTTCTGAAGGTCAATGATTCGTTAGGATTTTGTTCTTGCTATCTTGGCAGGATCTCGGTGTCCTCGACTTCTCTCTATCGGCGTCCCCCGAATCCCTGAAATCGTCGGACCAATCTTCCTCGAGTAACTCCTTCTGCAGCAGTCTGACAAGCTCCACGTGTTCCATCTTGTCTAACCGGTCAATCACTTCGCTGAAGAGACCGTTCTCTAGATCTTGATCGCTCTTCGAACCTTCGCTCTTGCACGCTTCATCGATCATCCCGACTGTCCCTTTTTCCTCCTCCTTCTCTACCTTCGAGTCTCCGCCTTCGATCACGTAGGTAGCCGTAGTGTTGGCGCTCTTGAAAGAAGTTTTACTGCTAGTACACCTCAGCCCTTCTTCGTCTTGAACGTCCTCCGAAATTTCTTCTTCCTCATCCTCCTCCACTTCTCGAAGTTTGTCGGTAGAAAAAGACGAAGACGACGTGGAAGATGACGAAGAATGGTCTTGTTCTTCGGAGAAACTTGCTTTCCTGAAAGTAATGTCTCCTCTTGGTAACTCATCTTCGTTCGGAACCGACGGTTCTTGGCTTTCCTGATGTGATTTTACCGGACTGGTTGTATTCTCTGAACGCATCGTTATCTCCTCGTCCAGAGATCGGTCACTGGCCGAATCATCGTGGTACTCGGTGATCATTCTCTGAGTGAACATGGTGGTTATCACGGTCTGTTCGCGACTTACGAACATACCGGATCGTCTCGGTTGTTCGTCACGGGAGGAGGCAGCTGTTGGCTGTTTAAACTGGTCGCTGCCGAACGGGTTACTTTGCAGGGCGTGCGCCACCTGATCGATAAGGTTTCGGATGTAGGACAGCATGGGAGTGTCACCCTCTTCCTCCGTGATCTTCCCGGCTACCTGCAGCTCCTCCACCGCTTCTACGAATCTACCAAGTTTCGCCAGGCTTACACCTTGAATAAGAAGAAGAAGAAGAAGAAGAAGAAGAAGAAGATTGAAAAGATTAACCTCGAATACTAGACTTTCGCTTTCTTACCTAGAAGTAGCTTCCCATAGAGCAACCATTTCTTCGATTTCCCTTTTACAGCAGCGTCTACGCACTCGACAGCCATTTCCATCGCTTGATTGTACTTTCCAGTCTCCAAATAACATCGTCCAATCTCGTGCCTGATCCAGGCTACCGGAATAGGTTCCTTCAGGTCCTTGGACAAATGTTCCCAGGACTTGGCAGCGGCCTCCAGGTGTCCAAAACTTAGATGCACTTTTCCCAGAGTGACGAACGATTTGTAGATCTGTGACTGGTCGCCGGTGCTCTTGCATAGACGCACCAGTCGAGCAACGTTGCTCACCGCTCGATCGTGTCTGTGAAGAGCGACGTGGATCAGGGACAAGTAGTGATAAGCGGCTATCTGATAACGAGTCGGGTCTTGGAATCCTGCCGATAGGAGAAGCAATTCCTGGGCTATCTTCAGTGCCGCGGTCATTTTGCCGGAATCGAAGGCAGTCCTTAAGTTGGTTAACGATTGATCGGCCAGCTGTTGTTTCCTCAGCATCGATTTGTTTCTTGCCAAGGCATTGAACGGTCGGGGAGACGGCAGGGTCTTCCATAGGGTCTTATGGGCGTCGAAGTAACTGGTAGGGTGAATCGATTCGTCGTTATCTTTCGCTAATTATCACGAATGGATTTCCACCCGGCAAATACCTGAGAATCTCAGCCACCGACGTCGGATTCGGCGACTTCTTCAGCCTGTCGTTCGCCAGAATGGCGGCCGTTTCCGGGCAGAGGCTGACGGTTAATCGTTCGCCGTTGTTCACGCTCGGCAAAGCCTTTCGAAGAGCTTTCGACGGATTATTGCAGGAGCTTATCGTCGCCGATGTTCTCCTGGCTGCCACGCTGTGACTACTGTCCCGAGGAAACAAGTTCGCGGCACGATGGTACAGTACCAATGCCGTCTCGTAATCACCGCTGGAAATTGCGATTCGACAGTCCGCTTAGCAGCAATTAATTATGAACGTGGCCTGAAAGCCCGTTTGAGCAATTGAATTTCCATCATCGTTTAAGCCCTGAGAGAATTTCCACCGGATAAGCCGCAAACGTTCGCGAAAGTTGAGTTAAAAGTGGATGAATCAGATAATAGCGATAATAAAATGGCTATTTCAAAATCGAGAGCAGAGATGAAACGATACTTAAATGGACATGTTGTTTATGATTAATGAAAATTCAACGAGCTGCGATAAATTTCCAGTGAAATTTAAACAGCATCGACATAATTTTGCGCTCGGTTACGGTCCCACTGACAACCAGGAACCTGGGTCAATTGTACGTGTTTCGCAATTACCTATGTTAAAGTAATTAAACGACTGCGTACAGTAGATCGAATAATTGTAGCAGCCGTTTCAAAGGAATAAATTAATTTCGTTGATTATATCATTAAAAGCCCGGTGGAACTGTGCCAGAGTGAAACCGGGTGAACGTTGGCGACGAAATTGAATCGAAATAATTCCAATTAATTGCAGAAAATTTTCCTTTTTATAGCTTTACATCGAGGTAATGTAAAGAGCGAATGAAAGGTTAACATTCTTCTCATTTTCCAAATCGAAAGAAGAAAAAGACACGTAAGTGAAAATGAAAATTTTTCAATTTCACTTCTGATTCAGCAGTCAGCAAAGCTAATAAAAGATTGAAAATTTTTATGCAAATTCGTAGAAACATGCCTGCGATAGAGCTTATCAGCCTCCCGATGAAGAGCCTGAGCATATTCCCGGTTGTTTCGACGGCCAATTTTCAAGTCGCTTTTCCTCTGCACCAAACGAGCACGATTTTCCGCATTTTCCACCGCTTTTCTCGTCTCGTTCAGATCGACCAGCTCGCTCGCAAGGTTTTCACTCGCTAGGACAGCCATCGCTATTCGAAGCTCGAATTTCTTTCGGCCTGAATTTGTCGCGAACGTTAAAAGCAATTTTCAAGTAGCGATGTTAAAAAATTTTGATCGATCGAAATTGAAGATATGTATATATAACTTTTGAAATTGTATTTATGTACAGAAATTTACAAATTTACAAATTTACAAATCTTCCTCACAAAAGACGCATCGATAAAATTACACACGTATATTCTGAAAATTCTATATTAATAATTCCTTATGTTCATGAAATATTTCCAAGGAATCAGCTGAAACAACCGTCGCGCATCAAGATTATCCCTCCGAAGAACGAGGCAACACCATCTTTCCTCCCACGTAAACCCAACACGAATTCCACGAACTCGAAAGCTCCCCGTTTCGGAGTTCCGAAACTTTAAATGACGGATATGCCTCTGTGATCCAGTTTAACAAGGATTGATCGATCATTCGAATCAACAAGACATACTGTTCGATGCCTAAAACTTTCCTCCGACATTCCTCGTCATTCGTATTCAAGAAACTTTCAACTTTTCTCTTAAATCATTCGTTTTAACGCTTTGAACGCCAAAAGGCCACTGACGGGCATAAACGTTATTAACATTAATATTTCGAGCGATCCAACGGGTCGGTATCGAAACGATCCTCATTCGAATTTATTAAAGTCCACGAAACCGGGCCTCTCCACGGTCCGCGCGAATTGTTGGAGCAAAGCATCCCTTGCTTCCTTCGCAGGATTCTTGGGAGGAGCGGACAAGATGGTCATCCTCTTACAGGGTAGTTTGAACTTTCGATCGACCGTCTTACAACCCGGCATCACGGATAATCTTCGTTTGGCAGGCACAGCCTCCATGCTCCTCCAAAGGTAATCCACTTCGGGCTTCATGTCATTCGGCATCAGATCGAGGATCAAATGTTGTCTAGCCGTGATCGCGTCCGAATCGATCAGCTTCTCCGTGTCCATTTCGTCGATCACGTTGATCGCGTTCGTGTAGAAATCGACGAGAAAATCGAGGCCAAGTTTCTTCGAGCTGGAGAGCGCGTGCAACGCGACTTCCTTAGCTTCGTTCCGGTAATTCTGATTGATTTCTATACGGAGTAACAAGTGATGGGTGTTGAGCACCCATTGCTCGCTCTCTGCTTCCTGACCCTTTTTCCGAGCCTTCTTTATGTAAAATCTGGCCAAGTCGTGGCGGCGGATGTCGATCAGGTGTTTGGACAACTCGTGGAACAGCCAGGCTAGCTCGAGGGGTTCCGAAGCCATCGCTAATCTCCTACACCGAGAATTTATTCATGTAATCAGTGATTACACCGGAGTGTCGGCATACCTGCGAAAAACTCTGAGAGCCTTTTTTCGGTTGATAGCCTTCACCCAGGCGATGTCGCAGTCCCTTGGCAACTCGGCCACCCGTATACCCAGATGATGCTTCAAATAGATTTTTCTGATCCGGTTACTTTTAAAACCGGATAAATCACGGGCGTCTATGTACATCCAAGCGACCATGTTGTAGACTGCGTCCAGACACTGCTGCTTCAAGGGGAACATCTTCACCGAGTAGGAATCGAACTTGTCTTTAACTCTATCCACCATTCTAACAAAACCAAAATGATCCAGTTCCTTTTAGCGGAAGTCGCGAACGGTAGGTTGAATAGCTTTATTATTTTATTTACCTAAAGAACGTAGTGTATTCTTTGCGCATTCTAACGTCGTGCAAACGACGCAACAGGAAATCCGCCTCGATGACGATTAAATTTCTACGTAACTTCTTCTCTTCCTCCATCATTATCCTGTGACCCTTGGGTATATTTCTTCTTTCGAAGAGCATCGTGTAGAGAGGTCGTCGCGTTCTAATGATGTCTTGTCTACTCTGTGTTTCTAAATAAATTCTCGTTGCCAGTGCACGCAGCTCTGCTACCAAGGCTTTGTTAGGCGGTTGGAGAATATCAGGATCCTCGGATATATCCTGGAGAAACTTTTTATCGTAGGCTAGTTTCCCGAGAAAGATCTTCGCGATCACTCGTTGGAGCTTCCTGAAGGCAACCTCTGCTTGGGCTTCCGGATCGTTTACTTTGAACTTCGAGTTCCCCTCTTCGAAGCCTGAAAGATTCTGTTTCGATCAACCTCCGTAGGTTTATTTTCGTACGCTTTAATAACAATTCACCTCCTGTACGCTTAAATAAATATTAACTTTACACGGGAATATAATTTGTTTAGGTAAAACGTATTAAGCGAAACGCATTAGTCTGTCTGTTCTCCTACCAGCAAGCTCGTCAACTTCCTCTTTAAGCATCTCCATCAGTAGCTTCCGGTGCTCCTCGAGCTCCCTTATCCAAGGGGATAGAAGTTGAAACGCTATGGGCGAAGTGTTTCTACCCATGCAGTCCTCGATCGTCTCGTTCCCCTGATATATCCCATGCTCGAAAAATGTGACTCGATACTTCTGGTAGCCTTGATAGGCATGCATTAAGCTGTACCCGAATTCACTGATCTGGAATAACGTTTGAAGCATCATGTGCCTCACGTGGGTGTAGGTTGGATCTAAAAGCGAAAGCAAATGATGTCGCGATTATGATCGTAGGAAAATTTTAATTATTTGGAAAGTTTCGTACTAACATATTTCCCTGCATTTCTCAACGGTCTCCACTGCCTCCTCGTATTTAGCAAACTTCATCAACGCCTTGCATAAACCGATATAGGTTCTAAAATCATTTTCTTGACCCTGCCTGATAGCCTTTTTAAAATAATTCTCGGTTTGATAGTATATATTCATATGAGATAACCAGTATCCCAGTTCTCTGTAAACTATACCAGCCCTGAAGAAGTCGGGTTCCTCCTCGCCTTTGATCATCGGCATCTTGAATTTCGCTCCGTTTCGTCTTAAGGGACAACAAATTTTTGGTTAAAAGAGAAATGTAAATTAAAGGAAAGTGAAAGCTAACCTGTCCTACAGATGAATACACATTGAAAGGGTATCGAAAGGAACACCCTTGGGAGTTTAATAGGTCACTCGTTAATTTTGCACCCACGTCTGGAGACTGAATTTCGTTTCTTGATCACATTTTTATAAAATTCATATCTCTTTTGGTATTCCTCTCGCGAGAAGAAATTTCACCAGAAATTTCAATGACGGATGTTCCCTTGCGTTTTCATAAGTTTGAAGTTGTTTGCATAAGAAAAAGAAGCTATTACACCAATTATTTTTCAAATGGAACCGTTCCCTTTTTAGATTCGAAGATCAAAGAGAAACATTACCATTTGATATTTTAAATCAAAATTTAAAGAAGTTCTTAATTGAATTTGTTTGAATTGTAACGTGCTGTTCGACTAAACCATCAGACATCTTTCGGTATCTATTATTAAAAGAGATAAATCGGAGAGTTGCGGTAAAATTAGTTCGCGTTTCTAGTTTCACGAGTAGCTCCTTTGAGGCCGGTGTAATCCTCTTTCGGTTCTAAAATACTGTAGCGTCCAGGTAAAGCTCCTTGTGGCATTAATTGTCACGCACAGCAAGGGATTATATCGAAATGGCCGAGGTGGTTTTGCGGCTGCTGCATTTTTCCACTCTATCTTTTCTTTTCTCGTTGGATCAACTCGGATCTCGAAACTTTTTTATCATCCGTGTATCTTCCATTCCTTTGCTACTTGCGTTTTTAAGCTTCCGAATTATGAATATTTATAGCGTTGATAATTGAAGTGGATTTTGTTAACGTTAATCAATTTCGATGGGTTTTAAGGGAGGATGATGATAAACTTCACGTTACTTTGGCCCAATTTGCAAATCCCCAGAGATTTAACACGAGTCTTATTCCGTAAGCGCCGTATCTGGAATAGTCGCGGTAGGAAAATGGAACAGAATAAAAATAGGACCATCTTTCACGCTTAAATGGAACTATTCTTTTATCTGTAGATTACCGAGCTTTAGAAACCCCTTTTTTTCAGATTTCAGAATAAAATTTAAAAAATATTTGTTGGGTATAATGGCAAAATACTGCGAACTTGACGGTCCGCGCGAAGTCCACTGAGCGCCTCTCCATGGTCCGCGCTCCTTCACCGTCGTATACGGCTAACAATGAGATTTAATAACCGTGTGTTTCTCCACTCTGTTACAGAGTATCAGTTAAGGAGAAGCGTCGGAAAGCGTCGGGACGTCGGGCAATCGTGGACCATCGGTTTAGCTGTGCCCTCGAGATGCGGTGATGGCTTTGCTGTACAGATTCGCGCAGCTGCCTGACAGCAGTGGCACGCGGGTCTTCTCGTTCGTCGTCACCAGGAGCGTGGTACGCGATCCCGAAAGAGACGTCACCAGCAAAGAGCTCGTCTGCGGATTCCAACGATGGTCCGTCGCGTTTTCGCGTGGAAACAAGGTGAGCGTACCAAAGCGTTTAATATTAACCCATTCCGTCCCGAATCATTTAACATTAACGTACCGAAAGAAGAACAGTTTTGCCCTATCGGTTGACGATCGAACAAATGTTTACCCGTCGATTTACTCCGTCCGTTCGATTGAACCGCGCAATCCGTGTGTTCGTTTAACTTGAAAAATCAATCGACGGCGCGGCGATTAAATTCAATTAACCCGAGGACCGTTCGTTTTGCGTGAACGCAATAAAAACTGCACGATTAAGTCGCGATAACCTACGCCACGATATCGAGAATATAATATGGAGGAAGGAATAAAAATTCCCTTGTTTATCCTGTGCGAAGGTGTTAGGCGCATACCTAGTATGGCGGGGAGCCTCGAGGAACCTGCGGGTCTACGTGGACTTTACGTTCACGCTGTTGAACCGGGAACACTTCTCGATGAACGAGGGTTTCTCGGGCAAACGCGTGAAATTCACGTACGAAGCGCCTGCACAGGGGAACCGGAACTACATCCCAGTGTCGGACCTGTACAGTCGCAACTTTGCCGACACGAACGGAGAGTTCCAGCTGGAACTATCCATGTCAAACGTGCGGACGGTGTACATGACCGAGCTTAAGATGGCCAGCAGCACCTTCCCGGCGGGACAATCGAAGCCGAACAAATTGGAGAGCGATTACTTCGCCTTCGGGGGTTTCGATTGGAATCTGGTCATTTATCCGCACGGGAACAAGGAGCCGGAGGGTTACCGCGGTCACGACAGCGGCGTCAGCGTTTACCTGATGAGGTTAACCGGGTTCGATCATCGTTGCCGTGTTAGATACAGCGTTGCACTGGGCGAAGGAGATCGCAGGATCGATTCCGGACAGATCGAGGACCTGTCCGACGCGGAAGGATGCGGCTTCGGCTGGCATCCGAGGGTCAGGTGGTCGGAGATCGCGCACAAAGGCGTGGTACGACTGTCTCTCGAGATGGTCGAGGCTAGAACCATCTGCGAGATTGCGGTCCAGGCACGCGGACCCTCTGTCCTACCCGCCACACCGTGCTACGACCGGGATAAACAGGCTTGGACCATCCGCGCTGATCTCCACTCGGACACTGTCAGGCTGCACTTGGTCTACAAGGACATTCACAACGTCCCGAGGAACCATTTGAGGTTGGTAGTTGCCGTTTATCGTGATTCCATGTAACAGTAGCGAGCATTACGTATGTAGATCCCGTGTCCCAAGAGTACCAGCACGGTAGTTCTACCTGATTCCGTCTCTGTAATCCTCCCCAAGCTCCTATAGTTAAGTTCTTGGAAGCGCATTTGCATTAGATCTCCTTTGCGTAGTACCCTCCTCTAACAAAGACGATTCCGACTTCTCTTCGGCAGGTACGTTAGCTGGTCCGCGTACCTCCTACGAGACGAGGATCCGAAAACAGCTGCGATCAGCTTACCGGGTGGTCCGTTCAGCCGCTACTACGCTCAGGAGTCCGCGGACGAGGGCATAATCATGGAGACGAATCTGGACACGAACGAGGTGAAGGAAAATCACTGTCCCTTTCTAACGGACAAGGGTCAGCTGAGGATCCGGCTCGAGTGGAACGAGAGCCACTTGCTGTTCCAGGCTACCTACCACAAATACGACGACGTATGCCGGATCCACAATCAACAGATGAGACGCGAAATAGCCTCGCTTCAGGCAGAGAATTACAGCCTCGAGAGGCAGCTGTTCAGTTACCAGAAGAGCCTGGCGTACGCTCAAGCGCAACAGCAACAGCAACAACAGCAGCAACAACAACAACAACAACAACAACAACAGAACCAACAGCATCACAGTGGTGGTCATCAGGCTCACCTGGAACGATCCGCGTCCACAGACACCGAATACGCCTGACAAGTGGAACAGATGCAGGCTATCGAGCAGCCGGCTACCGGTTGCAGGCGACAATTACCGACCGTTCAGGAGAACGACCATCGGGTCCATCAGAACCTGGTCAGGATGATGGACCGACGGCTGAGCAACGTCCAACTGCAACAACACCTCTACGAACCGGACGCGACACCGTGCTCGCCGAGGCAGAGCGTCGATCAGTCCCAGGAACATCGTCGCAGTATCGTCCAGCAACCGAAGTCGGCCCGTTCCAGCGTCGGCAGATCGGACAGCGGCTCGGATCGTGGGAACGATCGTTACTCGGCCGCATATTATTTGGGGTACGTCGGTCAGGAAGCGCACAAAAGACGTAGGACCACTTTCTGGGAGACCCTGACGGGTCTTGTCTGCTCATTGGGCGCTTTGGCTTCCAGGGCTGCCAAGATGGCCACCAGACGGGGCGAGCCTCTTTGAAGAATACGCCTTCGTTAAAGGACCACCGGACGATAATTGGCTGCGAAAACGGGCACTGGGAACGCGAGAATTGTGATGTAATGTGACACAGATGTCGAGCAACACAGACACGAACGGTGAAGGATACGCGGATGTGACTTTGTGATTTCATTTTTCACTCGTCATCTCGCTTAGAGAGCAAACAGAGAGGAATGATGTCGAGGTTTTTTTTTGATGTTTCCGTGGCTAGCACGATTCGTCCATAAATCCTGTCGGCAAAGAAGAGTTTTCCATTAGAAAGGAGGACAAAAGCGTTCCTTTCCTCCTTGGCCCAGCACTGTGATCGGACTTGCCGATCAACTCGACAATATGGAAGAGGCGAAGAGGGACGGCGAAAACACCTACGACGAGGAAAAAAAAGAGAAAATGATGAATCCTATTGTACCAAGATGGTTACGCTAGCGCAACAACGCCGAATCGATCACTTTCGTCCATTTTTCGTCGATAAAGTAGGACAGGAGAGAAAGAAAAGGGACACATATCTCGTACGTTTTTTGACTAGAAACGACCAGATGATTCGAACGGAAGAGATTCGGCTGAAAAGAACCAAACACGTAGCCAGTTAGAAGCTGACGTTTAATAATTATTCGTCATAACGATGATCAAACTCAACACAAACACGTTAAATTTGGAAAATCAATGGGAATATTAAGAAAGGGATCTTCTCCCTGGATTCCATTCCTTCATTGTCCATGCAAACACAATTCTATCTACTTGTCAATTTTACTAAGAGAACTACAGGAGCAGAACAAAAGCTATTTTCACTCTAAAGACTTGTTTTTCACCTATCGTCTGCGACTTCTTTGATAAAATAAAGGAATCCGTGAGCGGTGTAGCCACCGTTGTCGTGTAACAGCGTATAATTATGGTAGAGTTACTCGTGATCGAGTACAGAGAAACAATTTAACGATAATTGATAATAACTTTTAGAGTACAGTCGGTGTTACGTAAACGAAATTAGGGGAACGAAGGGACTCGATCGAAGAGGACGTTCGCGTTCGTACTAGAAAACGACCATCGGCTTTCGTCGTGATAAGTCGAACAAAAGACCAGGGTAAAATAAAAATACGAACGTTGATCATCGTACAGAGGGTTCGTTCGTATCTCGAGGAAACTTTAGATTTATTTATTTATCACAATATACAATTCTAAATCAATTTTAAATCGATACTCTTAATTGACAAGAATAATTCAAGGGATAAGAGATCCTTATTCCCTATCGTTCTCAGTTTCCGACACAGAATTCTAAACTTTTCCTGCTGTTTAAAAATGCAGATGTCCTTTCCATGGAAACTTTTTCTTTCGACCCAGAGTTAAAGATTTCCATAACAAAATCTTTGTTGTTTCATAACTTGCAAAGTTCAGGCACCGTTGGTATCTTTATAAGTTAAAGTACTTTTACTGGAAAACAAGAGACACCTTGGTGCTTTATTTTTCAACAATTACAACTTCCTCGAAGCGTTAAAAGCAATTAGAACTCTCATCGTTAACCTTCGATCCCCTCGACCTCGCGTTTCAAAGCTTCGTACTGTCTCCTTTCTCCGTTTCTGTATAATTGTACCTGCGAACGGCGTTGCATATTGAAACACGTGTTCACATCTGTTACAAATCGGTTGCGGACGCGATCGATACGGCAGCTCCTCGTCATTTCACATCGTATACACGTATAACGAATCACCAGGAATCGTGTACACTCGGGTGCAATGTAGGCTTTTCTTGGTTAAAGGTAAATCAAGGGAGAGGAGACTCGTTACATGCTTTCGATCTTGAGAGAAAATTGGCAATCAATGTATCAACCAAGAAAAGCCCATTTTCATGCAACCATAACACACAGGTGCTGGACCTCGTTTGTACACACTCGACGCCTAATTAAAAGCACCGATAGGATTTCCTTTTACAAATTCTTATCCTTACGTGTACAGTGGACAGTAAAAGTATTCGGGCACCGTTTAAAACAGAATGCCTCGTTTAAAATTGGACCAAATGACTTGAGATTTTTTGAGAATCTATACAAATTAATTTACTAATATATGTGTTTTTGTCGTTTTAAAAAATTACAATTTATATCAACGCGAACGGTCGAACGATTAAATACAATTCCTCGAAATAATTATCTCAATCACCGTAGAAAATCGTGTATCGGTGCTTTTAATTAGCGACACGCTAAAAGACACATCTCGTGAAAGTTGTATCCCTCCTCTGAAGTAGCGGAGTCTGTATACTTTGTATATAATTGTACTAAAACTGTTGACGATTTAAAGGAAGAGAATTACAAGAGTTGTGCCTATATAATATGCGCGAAGCTAAAGAAGGATTTCAAAGAGGATCGTACGATCGAGATTCCATTCCGTCGAACGGTACCGTTCGTAATTTCGTGTAATTCGCGTTATCGTTTCTGCTCTAATTGTCGCCACAATATCAGCGTACATTGCAATTACCGATACGCAGTGTCTACTACCTCTGTTGCAATTTTTTTACCACGCCTGGTAATTCCCGTTCTAAACGAGCTTCGTTAACGAGTTGAGGAAAAAAAGAAAAAAAATTGTGTTTCGCAGGTTTAACGATATTCTAATCGTTAGTCATATGTAGGTCAAGCTTAGCGCAACTGATAAGGAGCGACACGTGGACATAACTAGATCCGCGACTGATAAAAGGAACAAACAAGCGATCGTAATTATCCTCCAGTGTCTGCTCGTCTACGAATCACGATGGCGCATCGTGAATTCAGTTCCTCCTCTTATTTTACTTATTTCTTGGCGACAAGGAACAGCAACAAAGTTTCTTCGTGTCCGTATAAAAAAAAAAAGAAAATGAATGAAATGAAAAAGGGATTAAGCAAAGACGATCATGCGATCCTCGAGGATCTACGTGTACGTTTTTCTGTAACGTGATAGAGAAAATGAAAAAAAAAAAAAAATAGGGGAAACGATCTCTCGTGCAGCGCACGCGTTTTCCAAAATGTATCCTCGATTCAAAAGTTTCTTATCTTATACAGTGGTATAATATATAAAAGGACCACCGACGGAAAAGCTTGTCAGAATCTTCGCCTAACCGACCCCTCGGTGCTTGTCTCGGTCGACGGTGAACGGGCGGAAATGATGCGACAATACGTTCACAAGATCGTCGAGGCAAAGTTCGAGGATCTTAACGGCGGCAAGAATCGATCGTATCCTAATAATGTCATTGTATTGTTGTGTAATTTGTCAGATTTTATCGATCGTGTAATTCGCGAACAATGCGAACTTGTACGAGTGTCCCGTGAGTTCGCCGATTTCACCCTTTCCCTGTTTCACAAGAGACTAGCGACGTACAGGCATCTCTCGTGTATCCCTACTTGCCGGTCTTACTCCCCTGTTCCAAGGTGTATTCGATCCAGAATTTTCTAACGAAAACGCTTACGACATGCGTGACAGCAGCTCTGACAATCGCACGTAAACCCGATCGAAGGGTGTAATCCTTCGCGTCCGTCAGCGTTGACCATTTTTCAGATTCCGCTTTCGGGTCTAATTGATGTTCAAATCCACCGAATAAACGTCGCGAAACACTCGCGAGAAAATTTGAAAATCATACTTGGATGTTCTGAAAGAATGTAAAAGAAGAAGAAAAAAAGAAAAACACTTTGACGTCCATTGGAGTAGGTAGAATATCCAGTGCTCGAACGTTTCGGATACATGTACAACGTCCAATAACCGGATGGCTTGGATACCTTGGATATCTCAGTCCGTGTTGAGATATTTCAGCTTGAAACGGTATGCAATTTTCAAACCCTGCAGTGACCTGAAATATCCGATAGCAACGTTTCCCATGCGCCTGAAATATTCGATACGAAACGAAGAGTACTTCGTTTACCGGGCATTCTTCGGATTCTACGTGAATTTTTCTTCCATTCTGACCTGTTCGATGACCCAGAATAATATCTCGGAGCGTTCGAGCATTGTAGAAATGAAAGAAATTCGTTTCTTAATATCCAGTGTCGGCGACGTTTAACAAGGCGGTGGGTTTTCAAAGTCCTCGTGCCCGTGATTCGGTTCGGCACACTTCAGTCAATTAAATTCACTATCACGAGGACCGAGCGCGGGCATCGTCGTCGAGGAGCAAGCCGAACACGAAGCGGAATACATACGTATATGTAGATTTACATATATAGATTTGGAATTTATCAAGCAGAGACCAGCGTGTCAGTCGGGTCAAACGAGTCCCTCAGCCTCGTCCTTGATTCTCTCTCCTCTATTTCTTTTTTTCCCCCATATCTCTTATTATCTGTATTTCCACGATCGTCATTGATTCGCGTAGCGAGTCCGGGCAAGCATCGATTGACCTCCGTAAACATTGATAAATTAATCCTGATGAAATAGACCTGAGATCTTTCGTTTATTATCTAACGTAATAATTCCAGCTTGTAAATTCATCCATATAGTTTATAGAAAGTTTGAAAAACGACGATAAAACGGCGCGCTTTCGTTCGATTATGTAAATATCAGACATTGGCCTCTCGCCATTTCGGTGCCGGCAACGATATTGCTCCTGCTCCAACCTCGCATAATTAATTTTTGTCCATCGATATTCCAGGAGTGTAACTCTTTTCGAGCCGGGGTAGAACGTTAATATCGCGCTCGGCTGCAGGTTATCGGTTTTTCCTTAAAAACGGGATATGAAATATGAAAAGATATAGCGTCGTATATTCGTCATCGAGCCCGGCAGAATTCCCCCAGAAAATTCGTCTGATAGAACGTGGATATAGCGAACGACTTTCATCCCTTCTTTCTTGGAGCGAGTAATTATTGAGTTATTTAGATTTTCTTCTTTAGATTTAGGATCTTCTGGAATCTAATTTTATCTCCTTCGTCGCCACCATCGTACTGTAATCCCTATTCCTAAGATCCTATCTCATTGGATACTGGGGTACCACAATATTATGATACGACCCGACATGGCAGTGGTGAAACTAACATCGAGACAGAATCTATCAATTCTGAAAGAAACGAACGTCGTGCACGCTGACGGACGGTGACGCCATAAAACAAATATCGATTCTCTTAGGTCAATTTCGTGGTAAGGACCGTTCACGAATCGCGATCGTCTGCGAAACGATTTACAAACTCGATCGCACCTATTTCCTTGCTCCTCCATGCAGGAGCGAAGGTCACGTTTTTTCTTATCGACGGAACTTCCCTCGTTCGCGATGCACCCCCATCGTCGCGTTCCTCGTGCCATTTTATCGTCATCCTTTTGTTTGCTGACTGCACGCTTTAAGAACAAAGAAAGATACATATATTTTTTTTTTTTTTTTTTTTTTTCAGTCACCAACAGGTTTAACGGCAAACGATAAGTTGAAATATATGCATAGGTACACGCGTAACGACGTTGGTAGAGCACGTGCATTTATATTTTCTGACGATAATGTCAGGAACTTACGATATGTATGTGTTATAATGATTGTATTTAGTTTCGAACGGTAATTGATGGCACGACGACAAGAGGGAATCGACACGATCTAGTCGAACGAGCGTTTCCTTTTTCAGCTTCTAAATCCTCGTCCGACTCTTTTTCGATTCAATGTATGTTCGTACTTTTTACGCACGATGTAAACGCACCTATTTACGCAGCAACCTTTTTTCATTCCGTGTGATCTATTTAACAGAAAAGAAGAAAAAAGAAAACGTTAAAAAAAAAAATAATCATAATGATGCAAACGCAAAACCGTCACATGTTTCTCAGAATTTTGAGACGTATACTAATGTACTTAAACCATCTGTGAGTCTGCCTCGTCTTTTATAAAGTTCTTGCTATATTCAACCGATGCTGGTATTTATTCCATATTATCTCCTGCCCTGTAGAATGAAATAAACATGACACTGGGGAAAACCTCCCCCGGAATCGCCACATAGCAATACTTCGGGGGGTCCTCGAAACCCCGACTGGGGTATTCAAAATCCCCGCCAAAGGGGCACTTGCGCCATCTATCGACAAATTGCGGAAACTACTCGCCGACTAGTTTCCAAGATGTACCGATAGATGGCGCTAGTGTTCGGCTCTAGTGAAAACCTAGTCGGTAAGTCGTTGAGTAGTTTGCGCCGTTTTCGTATAGATTGCGCTACGGTCGAATATAAAAGATTTTAATTTATGGCGGTTTTTTTAAACTACAAGTATATTAAATAATTAGTTTAATAATTTTGCAATTTGTATACATTAGATCTTATTTATTTTGCTTTTTTAATTATTAAGAATTGATTTCTTTAAACCAATCGTACTCCCTAGCACAAAACTCTAATTTCGAAAATAGGATTCTTGATCCGCTATTGTAAACTAGCAGAAAAATAGTTTATTCGTTTTGCATAAATATTTTACATGAAATATTCTTTACTTTTTTTATTTTCATGATTAGTAATCGCGGCAGTATCAGTCCCTTCATCAAAGTAAAATGAAACGGCTAAAATGAAAAGAGATTCATTCGAATTGATATATAGCTTTATTGGATTTCGCATCGATCAAAGATATATGATAGTGTCTATTATAAGCCAGCAAGTTTGATTTAAGAGTCATATGTTTGCTGTAATTGACTCTCCCACCTCTCCTCTTTGATTCTGCTGTTCTCCAAGAATGATGAATTGCCATATGAAATTGCATAACTTGAAAAAAATTAAAAATTACGAAACATAAAAAAAAAATGAGATTATTTATGAAATAGATTTGCCGGATAGTTAATCATTATAAATGACTGTCGCAAGACAGTCGCAGACAGTCGTATCGCAATTGTCGTCTGAATCATATGTTATGTGTCAACGTTAATACCATTGTTTTATCGCGTTATTACTCCAACATATTTACATAATTGTTTTTTCAATTGTTCGACACACGCAGTCGTGAACGTTGAAGACAACTGCGCAGACAACGAATACAGAAGCTCAGTTAAGTCTGCTTCATTTATATATATACATCGTCTTTTTATAGTTGAGGTTATGTTTCCTATGAGACGAAAAAAAAAGAAAAATATCCTGAAATGGTACTAAATAATTATTAAGATCTCTACGGTAGTGAAGAGTAAGTGTGAAAGCATTTACGTGGAACCAAAAATAGTGACAACAAATACTTTGTCGCAAGTACAGATCAGTATTATACATTCTTAAGACTATAATAATCATCATCAGGATTATTGACATATCGAATAAATCACGATATTATAAATGACACGTTATGCCAATTTAATTACTGCATAAAATATTTCCAAAACTTATTTGTTTTTACTTGGCTTTACTACTTACTCTGTTGTGTATCTTTTGAGATAAAAAACGATAAGTTTTTGTAGAAAAAAAGGCTTAAAAACGGCAACATACGGCGAAAGAGTACAGGAGGAAAGTTATCCGACCAATTTGCATCCATTATTAATGACTAATAAACAACAAAACATGTTGAGCCAAAAATTAAGTAACAGAAGGCTAACAGTTGACCTCCTTGCGCTCATGTTTGGTCTTGGAGCATGGATTGGAGTCAATGGTATATATGTTCAATTACCTCTTCTGGTGAACAAAGCTCCAGAAGGATGGAGTCTTCCAGCACATATGGTTATGCTAGTACAATTTGCTAACTTGGGACCAATACTTTATACATTATATATAAAGTAAATATATTGCAGTCACCTATATATTGAATAATTTTATTAATTTTGTGTTAAAAATTATCACTATATTGCTTTCTGTTTCAGGTATAGTAAATGGGCATGTGAGAAATATATTATATACATACTGTTAGCAGCAGGTGCAATGTCCACAATTATATTAGCTTTTGTATATGATAAAACATCAGTAATATTTGGCAATGAGCATTCCACTGCTCTGTTGTCCTTAATGTTTGTAACTGCCACTGTTGGATGTACGAGTTCAGTTCTTTTCATGCCTTACATGAGGAACTATAGAGAGATTTATTTGGTGACCTATCTTGTAGGAGAAGGGCTCAGTGGGTTTGTGCCTAGTCTGGTGGCATTAATCCAAGGTGTGGGTGGAAATCCAGAGTGCAGAAATGCCACTACATCCAAGTCAACTAAAGTAGAGCTTGTACCTTATTATCCAGAACCCAGGTTCTCGTCTGAAACATTTTTTATTTTCATTGGTGTGTTATTTTCATTGTGTTATCTGGCCTTTTTGGGATTGAATACTCTGTCTGTTGCTGTTGGAGAACGTGTTAAACATGCAGGAAGTATGGAAACATTACCAACAGATACAAGAGCACCTCCTAGTTATAAGACCAATTCTGGTTGGACAATGTCTAAACAGGTGTATTCTTATTTATTAGTTATGATGGCAATTGTTTGCTTCCTAGGCAATGGTACATTACCAAGTATTCAGTCCTATTCTTGTTTACCATATGGGAATATTGCATATCATTTGACTGTAACATTGTCATCAATGGCTGGTCCATTGGCAATGTGTTTAGGTTTTGTTATTAAAATACCAAAAGTGAATTTTCTCACTAGTCTCATGATAATTGCTTTAGTATTATCTGGGTTTGTCTTTTTCTTAGCTGTTAAATCACCTGCACCACCTTTACAACATAGCTGGGTAGGTGAATTTCTAGTAGTTTTATCTTGGATATTGATCAATGGTTTAATAGGTTTCATAAAATTGGGTATCACCACGTTGTTCAGACCTGATCCTGGTAGAGGTTTGTATTACACTGGTGTTGCAACCCAAATTGGATCTCTAATTGGAGCAGTAGTTACGTTCGTTCTAGTGAACCATACAAAATTGTTCCAGTCTTATTCCCCCTGTTCATTAATTCCAGCACAATAACAGTTGTTACAGAATATAAATAGCTCAATTTGTAATCATAAAATTATGCAAAGATAATTGGAAAAGATGAATATATTTTTAGTTCCAGTTATTAAAAATAAAATTGTTATATAAATAATAATGTTATATAAAAACATGTTATGTAAAAGACAGCATATAGATCTTTGTAAATCTGCAAAAAATATTTTTCTGGACCTAAGTGAGATAAATATAACGCATTTTTTACTTAGACTTTAAATACAGTACATGTATTTTAAAAAGTTTGTGATTCAGATGAATGTACAAGACACAAATGTACTTAAATAACTTTACATATTTAGATGTTCTGTACATAATAGAGTAATAGAGGATTAAATTTTCAAAATTCTATATCTAAAATGTGCAATTTTAATATCTTCTTAAAAATTTTACGTATCTCAATAAGTGCAATATGATTATCAGTTCTATTAGAATCGCACGAAATCTTAAAATACATTACCAGATTTGAAACACTACAATCTAAACATATGTTTTATCAAGAATTTAACTATCATTAAGTAAATTAAAGTACGTGTATTTAGCCACACTTTGTATTTTATCTGATAAATTTTATTGTTCAGATTGAAGCACAGTTGAAGACAGAGATCTTCTGATTTCATTGTATCAGTTTCTCTAAGAAAGCTCTACTCAATATTATAGAACTTTAACACAGTGATAACATACTAATTCAGTGAAATATACTTTTTTTTTCAGTAACATTTATACAAGTTAGGTGAGAATACCAATAATTGAATATAATACAAAACTTCAATTTCATTCAGGAATAAATTTTAATTTTAGCTATTTGAATGACAAAATGACAGATATCCCTCAGGATTCAAAGAGGTGTGAAGAAAAAAAATGTTCAAAAGTTGCTGTACACCTTCTCATAACATTGTTTGGTATATCTGCTTGGATTGGTACTAATGGAATATTTATACAAACACCAGTGCTTATCGATATTTCACCTGAAAGCTGGGCTTTAGCAGCTTATCTGGTATTAATAATCCAAGCTGCAAATTTTGGACCTTTGTTTTATACAGTCTTACAACAGTTTAAATGCAAGATAAACGAGTCTTGGTGGATATTATGTTTATTAGTTTTAGGAACTTTAGCAATGGGACTGTTGAGCTTTCTTTATTCTGAAAGAACTGTTATTGCTGGAAATGAATATAGCTTGGTATTATTTATATTAACATTTTTCAATGCACTAGTAGGTTGCTTTAGTTCTGTATTATTTATGCCGTATCTTCGAAATTTTAAAGAAAATTATTTAACATCATATTTCATAGGAGAAGGATTAAGCGGTGTCCTACCCAGCATAGTTGCTTTGGTGCAAGGAATTGAAGACAGTTCAGAATGTACAACATTTACAAATGATACCAGAGACTCCTTTGATTCTAATTTAAAATTTTCTTCAAACCATTATTTTCTTTTCATATTTGTTATCTTATGTTTATCTTTAACTGCATTTGTTATTTTAGAGTATTCCCTTCTTGTGCAAAACAAGAAAAAGCATCACAAGTCTCTTGGTACAATATCTAATGAGAAGGAAATTAATATTTCTCATAATCATTACACAGAGGATGTACCAAGACACTGTTCATTAGAAGAAGATTCATTTCTTCATAATCACAAATGTCTAACAAAACAAATGCAAAACTATTTATTTATATTACTTGCTATATTGTGCTTCTTTAGCAATGGCTTTCTTCCCAGTATACAATCTTATTCTTGTTTACCATATGGAAATACAGCTTACAAGCTATCAGTTACATTTGCACAATTTGCAAATCCACTAGTATGTCTATTAGCATTCTGGTTGAAGATATCAAGCATAAAAATTGTCAATTACTTGTCCTTAATATGTTTAATTATTGGAAGTTATGCGATATACTTAGCAATGATGTCTCCTGCACCACCTTTACAGAAAACAACCCTTGGTGTTGTTCTGGTTGTCATGTCATGGACAATTTTAATAGGATTTATCTCTTATTTGAAATTAATCATTGTATCAATATTTAGAAGAACAGGGCTCCCTAGAATACTTTTTAATGTTGGTGTGATCATGCAAATTGGTTCTGCAAGTGGTGCAATATTTTCATTTTTAATAATTAACTTCACAAACATTTTTGAAATGCATAATAACTGTACTTTAACAGACAATTGAAATTGTAAATAGTATAAAATTGGTAATTGCTATAGCACTTCCATTGAGGGTTCAGAGTTAACTAATTGCTTTCTATGCAAAAGTATATACTGGTAACAATTTATCAGAATGATCTTACATATTTTTATAACTGTACATATGTGTCTGCATTTAGGAATGAATTTTTACTGGAACACAACAAATGAACAGTGAGACAAAACAATTATACAAATGATAAATGAATGTTATGAACTTATTTGTAAGGAAAGTTTTTAAAAAAATAATTTTAGAATCCTAATGGTCTGACTACTATCTTTTCTTTATCTTAAGTATTGCCTTCCAATACAAAAGTACTTAAGATATATTTGTTATGTATTTCGACTGGTTCGAAAATTATTGTGTTTATGTTACAATATCATTTATTGTTTATTATATACAACTAATATTATTCCAAACAAATGTTTTAAAAATCGGGGAACTATTTACTTATTAGATTGTCAATTGTTTTTTTTTTAAATAAACGTTATATTAATGAAATAAAGTTTTATTTTTTATATAAAATGATGCAGTATTATATAGATATCAATCTATTTTTTACATAAAACGATTTAAATTCAAAAAATTGATTTCATCCATTTATCTTCAAAGGCCATATCTATTCCATGGTGTTCAATTTACAAATTGAAAATGTATGTTATTATCTTTAAACAAGAGTTTTATCATTGTTTAATTCGAATTACAACGATTAAATAATTTAAAAAGAATAAATTCAAATCTGGTATACGTTGTCAGCCCTGCTATACCTACTTTTTGACACGCTTCTAAAATGCGCTAAAATGGTGATTATGAGTCATGCGCTTTCGCGCAAGGTTGCATTGAACACGAGGACCAAAACGGTAAATAACAACGTCAATAAAAAAACAGGTATTACGTTTTTTCTTTTTTATTGCAAGCTGAATCATTGAGACGATCAACAGTCGATCGAATGGTATTGTTTAAAAACGTTACGCCCAGCACCAGATATTCTAGCTTAAAATGTGCGATGAAGAGCAAAGTTTCTCTGAAGTTGAAACCGATCAAACGGAGTCCCAGTTATCATTATTGGATCTTCCAGTCGAGGTTTGTATAAATAAATTTTCCATGCATTTATACATCTGTAATTTTTTGCTTAAAAATAATGCTTAAGAATATACATGTATGCCCTAGTTTATCTATATAAATATTTGAAGAATTTCTTAATTTCTTTTAGTAACTTTCACTACGTAAAAAGGAGCGCATGTATAACTGTGTAAATATTCGAATATTACAGTAGAAAATTGATAGAATAAGTTAGTAACTATATATCAAGTGTTTACAAACAATGGAACAACTGTCATTGATGTACCTTTTAATCAATTTGCATAACTTGTTCCATGAATATAAATGAAGAGATATTTTTTAAGTAAAAGTCTAAAGTTGCATAAACTAGTTTAGCAATGATCTGTAATGTATGCTATTAAAAAACAAGTAAAACATCAAAAGTTTTGTTGTAATGTCAATGATTTGTTGTGGCCATTTTTAAATACCTATTTTCACATATAAAGAAATTCATCTGACACTATCTTACCAAGAAATTTATATTGTTTAATTTTTGTTTCAGATATTCTTCCATATCTGTTCTTTCTTAGATGCCTCTACACTAGTACATGGCTTGAGTTTAGTGTGTAAACAGTTTCATGAAATTTTAAATGATAACTCACTATGGAAAGTGAGGATAAATCAAATTTGGCCAAATACTAATTATCCAGTTTTGCCTCCTGGTTAGCTCAAATTGATAGCACCTTGCGTCTTGCACGACCAATCATTCTGTAAATAAATAAAACACCATCTATTACTGTACATGATAATTAGTTATACTTTATACATCATCACATGTACTGAGTACCTTGAGTATTATATAACTCTTAGAAAATTAACACAAAATATAATCTTTACACATTACATCAGGGAACAAGTATGAATACAAACAGTAATTTCAGTTACCCATAATGTCACATTTAACTTTCTAGCGTGTTATATATTGATAATATTTCCTAATGGTAACTTATGTTCTTAATATTTATGAATATGTATCTGTTTATGTAGCTGAAGATGATGAATTGTTCTGGAAACTATCATGTGTGGCATTGGAAAAGCAAGCCTCATTATGGAGGAAAGAAAATTCCATGGAGAAATTATCACTTACAATGGTACAATACAGTACCATAGATGGCCTGTTATTAATGCAAGTTGGTACAATTTTTCTATTTCGTAATTTTATGAATTTATAAGAAATCAATGATAATTTCTATGTACACGCAGGATGGAAGTATTTGTATATCGGGAGCAAGAGATCGATCTTTAGCATGTTGGAAACTTCCTACAAAGGAAGAATGGGAAATTACTACTTGTATAGAATCTGCTCATGACGGATGGATTTGGGACCTAACATCGATAGACAAGATGGTTTACAGTTGCAGCTGGGATAAAACTGTGAAAGCATGGACGCTTACCAACACCGGTCTCGTCCACTTCAAAACTTATGAGATGTACATGAGAACCAAGCTGGTCATTTTCGCTGCTCTCGTTATGGGAAGGCTGAGCGAGGAAGGCATGAATACTTTTGTTTCCAAGAGACAGTTATCTAGTAGAGTAACATTAGAAAATTACTATTAGGCTACAAATGTATTTGTCAGACCTTCTAAGAGGCAAGAAATCGAGCAGACGGACTTTGCTTTCACTCGCTCTGCCAAAAGTGACTGTGCAAGACATTGCAGTGCACCGAAAGTTTTCGATGTTCTATATTGAGCGTTAATCATTTTTTAGGATCGTCACAGGTGCTCTGTTATGCGTCGCATCATGTCCAGACCTGACTCTTTTTGCTACCGGATCATTTTGTAAAAGCGTTCTAGTATTTGATCCAAGATTAGCTTATAACCCTGTCGTAAAGTACCGACCACATAAAAGAGCCGTTATTAGACTGGCTATGAATTCTAACTTTATTTTGTCCGCCAGTGAAGATGGAACAGTGGCAATATGGGATCAAAGAGCAGGAAGAATGATGAAAAACGTTACTGTGAGAACTAAATCTAAAAGATTTATTAAAATAATAATTAAATCGTAATTCTAACTAAATGTATTTCAGATTTCACAAGAATCATTCCCTATGAGTATGTGTATGCAACGAGACATGGTTTATATAGGAGATGGCAACGCGAAATTACATGTACTAGATCCAAAAAAAGATTTTCAACCAGTTAAATGTTATACCACTGAACACAAGAAAGGTATTAATGGTGTTCATTTGACACGAGGGTGTTTGATCACTAGTTCAATGGACAAGACAGTCAGAATTAACAGTCCAACTGATCCTCCGCAACATATCACCACCTTGGAATCTAGTTATGGCGAAATAGCGAGTGTAAGTATATAGCACAATGACAAAATATATTTAAATCATTTTTCATTTCTTCGTTTTGCAGACTGATTATTTGAATGATGTTCTTGCTATTTCTGGTGCAGACGGAATAGAAATCTGGAGACCAAAAGCAAGAATCCAATGTGCATGAAAGCGTCGATAAATAAATGATTTCTACAAGCATTTTGCTTTGATATGCTGTATGCTACTTAACTTTCAATAAATTAACAAGAATTTAAAAAATATACATATATACTTAACAAATTTAATAAAAGCTTTGCTAATTATATTGTTATTTATAGGTTCATCTTCTCATTTGTACCTAATTAAAAGTAAATGATGGATTAAAATATATTGTGGATGATTACACTCGATTGAGTAAACATGAAAAATAATCTATTTTATTGAATTCAAATTGTAACCGCTTAACAGGAGTGTAACTGCTGATTCAAAAACCCTGAATGAAACTATGCTGGTTGATTAAAACAAATCTTAAATATAAATGTTATACGATTTTAAGCACTTCCATTTTGGAAGAAAATAACATCGAATATTATATTTTGAACAAAGTAACGTTAAATTTGAAAGAAGATAGGTGAAATGTAAATCCAAGCATTAAACTGATCGATGTCGCTAGCGTCGCCGGAAGTGTTCGTCTGCTACGCTCTGAAAACGTTCAATTGTCTATCTGTATGAATTGCACATAAATAGAATAACGTTATGAAACGATGTTAAATATCTATCTAATTGTTTTGAACAATTAATCACGCGTTCAACGTGACGCCCTGATAAAAATTATCCAAGAAATCCAGCTATTATATGCCGGTATTCCAATGCTTTCGTGGCGCGATGGTGGGGGTAATCGTGGGGAGCTTCCGTTTATCTGCGAGGTCGGAGAAGGCTGGCTGCGTTCAGTGGTGCTGTTGAAAAACACGATGAAAATGGCGTGGCAACCGCAAGAGGAAGGACTTAGACAAATCTTAACGCTTCTTAAGGAGTCCCAGAGCCCGGATACGGCTACTCAACGAGCTGTACAAGAAGTATCCTTTCTCGATCGACCAATAATAGTTTCTGTGCTACGAAAAATTTTGTTTAAAAGGGTCTAGTCGTCCCGGTGAGTACACCCGCGACGCGGTAACGAAGTGAAGCGGGTAGATCAATCGAAGGGCGTGCTTTTTTCCCCTATGCAAGCTGCTCATCTTAAATACAAGTTACAATTACGAGGAAAATTACGACGATAAGTCCTAAGAAATCTCAAGGCTATCAGGATATATTCTGTTAGCCCTAGAATGTGAAAATCTTCGGCGCGCTTTTGCGCAGCCTGTCACGGACCCCCTTTTTTGTCGTCTACGGTTCGATTGAAAAGCTGTTAAGACACCGTGTTACAATAAATTTGATTCTATGGAATCGTATGAATGTTTTTATCACCGTGTTCGTTAGGTTTGCCCGAGAAGTCTTGCAATTTGTATGAAAATCTGTAAGAGTAGGTCGATGGAAGTTTGTAGGTTTTTCTCGAATAACACGTGAGTTATACTTAAGCGCCAAGAAATATGTTAACGATACGCAATCCCTGTCGCGGGGCGCGTCGGAAATGCCGTTAGTGTCGGTGACGAGTTTGTTTTCTTGACACTGCAATCGATAAATTTATATAGTTTCGCCCGTAATATTAATTAAACAGATTGAAAATGACATATAGAAACGATTAGCGGTAGAATGTAGCGGTCGCGAATTACAGCTGGTATCAAGTATACGGTTACAGAAACTTGAATTTTTTCTACATAACTTTTTTTTTTACATTACATTTATACTCTCCTCACGTCTATATAGCAAGTTTGAGCAAGAAATATAATTTGAAAAATTAATAAATTTATAATGGATTCTTTTATACGTGTGAAATTATATACATTTCTGTATTGTACATTGTACCTTTAATTTTTCTCTTAACCTGTTAAATATAATTCTGGAATACTTTTTTTTGTATTTATTATGTAATGGTAACAACTGTGAGAGGTAAATGGCAGTTACATAAACATGTGATTTATTTTTATAAAAATTGTAAAGTACCATTGTTTTAACATGCATTTCTTTTCTCAAATTTTCCTTAACAACTTTTCTTAGAAATTGGAAGAATTAAATAAATTTCCAGACTTCAACAATTATCTTATTTTTGTTTTAACAAAACTCACATCAGAGGGTATGTATTTAACTACAAGCATAGTACTCTATTGATATAGATAGATTTTAATTGAAATATTTTTTGTTTCAAGATGAACCTACAAGATCTCTCAGTGGACTGATACTGAAAAATAACGTGAAAGCTCATTTTCATAAATTTTTACCAGAAGTTACAAATTTTATTAAGCAAGAATGTTTATCGGCAGTTGGAGACCCATCGCCTCTGATTCGTGCCACTGTTGGTATTTTAATAACTACCGTCGCATCCAAAGGTATGTTTATTGATTATCAACTAACAGTTAACGAAGCTCGTATAATGTTGTAATAAATTATTATCTTTAACAGGTGAATTGACTACATGGCCAGAGTTGTTACCTGCACTTTGTCAGATGTTGGACTCGGAAGATTACAACGTTTGCGAAGGTGCATTTGGCGCTCTTCAAAAAATTTGTGAAGATTCAGCAGAAATATTAGATTCGGATGCGCTTAATCGACCTTTAAACGTTTTAATTCCAAAGTTCCTGCAATTTTTCAGGCATTTAAGTCCCAAAATTAGATCACACGCTATCGCCTGTGTTAATCAATTTATTGTTAACCGCACGCAGGCTCTTATGATTCACATAGATAGTTTCTTGGAGAACCTTTTCCACTTAGCTAGCGATAATGATCCGGAAGTCCGAAAAAATGTCTGCAGGTACGATTATCTTATGGTTCAATGAAGGCAGTTCACAATATATAATTGGTTATTTATTACAGAGCATTGGTTATGTTGCTTGAAGTTCGAATGGATAGATTGATACCACATATGCACAATATAATAGAATATATGTTAATGAGGACTCAAGATCCTGACGAAGGAGTTGCTTTAGAAGCTTGTGAATTTTGGCTATCATTAGCAGAACAACCAATTTGTAAAGAAGCACTTGCACCACATTTACCCCGTTTAGTACCTATATTGGTAAGTAATAATGTAGCTACAGGAAATGTGGGGCAAGAGAACACGAATAAATTTGTAACATTCTTACAGGTAAGAGGAATGAAGTACTCTGAAATAGATATAATACTCTTGAAAGGAGATGTAGAAGAAGATGAAATGATCCCGGATCGGGAAGAAGATATTAGACCAAGATTTCCCAAATCAAAAACGCATCATTCACACCATGCTAATATGAATAAACACACAAATGAGAACGGAGGTTGTGACGACGAAGACATAGATGCCGAAGATGGATGTGATGATGATTCGACGCTTAGCGATTGGAACTTGAGAAAATGTTCAGCCGCTGCATTGGATATGTTAGCAAACGTTTTCAGAGAAGAATTGTTACCAGTCTTAGTACCAATTTTAAAGGAAACTCTTTTCCATCAAGATTGGGAAATCAAGGAGTCTGGAATATTAGCATTGGGGGCTATCGCAGAAGGTTGGTTAACATTTCGTTTTAATGAAATAAAGTTATGTATCTTTATGTTGTAATATAAAATATATTGTTTCAGGCTGTATGAGTGGAATGATTCCACATTTATCAGAATTAATTCCATATTTAATTAATTGCTTAAGTGACAAGAAAGCTTTAGTCCGCGCTATTACTTGCTGGACGCTAAGTCGTTACGCACATTGGGTTTGTGCACAGCCACACGACACACATTTGAAACCTTTAATGACTGAATTACTGAAAAGAGTACTTGATGGCAATAAACGCGTTCAAGAAGCTGCATGTTCTGCTTTTGCCACGTTAGAAGAGGAAGCATGCACGGAATTAGTCCCTTACCTTGGATTTATTCTTGAAACACTTGTGTTTGCCTTTGGTAAATATATTCTTACAAAACATAATAATTGTCCATAAATTTACGTAATGTTGCTAATGTTTATATCCGTGTACAGGTAAATATCAACATAAGAATCTTTTAATATTATACGACGCGATTGGTACACTTGCTGATTCAGTGGGACATCATCTTAACAAACCGGATTACATTAACCTTCTTATGCCACCTCTCATTAACAAATGGAACGTATTGAAAGACGAAGATAAAGACCTTTTCCCGTTATTAGAATGTCTTTCTTCAATTGCAACCGCATTAAGATCTGGCTTTCTTCCTTATTGCGAACCCGTATACAGGTCAGTTTTCCCTCTTAAATTATGCCATGATTTCGTAGATTTAAACGTGTATACATTTTTTTTTTTTAATAGGCGGTGTGTATCCCTCGTAGAGCAGACACTAAATCAACATATAGCAAATACCCAGAGTCCAGAACAATTTGAGGCACCTGACAAAGATTTTATGATTGTTGCATTAGACCTTCTTAGCGGGTTGGCGGAAGGGTTGGATGGTCATATGGAACGCTTAGTAATGAACAGCAATGTAATGCAACTGTTGTATCAATGTATGCAAGATGTCACGCCTGAAGTTAGACAGAGCAGCTTTGCCTTGTTAGGAGATCTTACAAAAGCCTGCTTCCAACATGTTCTCCCGTGTATACGTGAGTAATAAATTTACATATTTGATTGATTGCCCCGTTCGGATTACACGTACGATAATGTTTATTTGTTTAGCGGAGTTTATGCCTATACTTGGACAAAACTTGAATCCAGAATTCATATCAGTGTGTAACAATGCTACATGGGCTATTGGTGAAATAGCTATAAAACTGGGTAAATATTTATTCCAACACTTGAACGCGTCTGATAATTTTCAGCTCTTTAATAACATTTTTTTCTTTTCATTCTTAGGGTCTGACACAAGTGCATATATACCAATAATTTTGTCCCAACTTATCGACATAATCAATAGACCGAACACGCCAAAAACATTGTTGGAAAACACCGGTGAGTAGCTGTGTAATATGTTTAAACGTATAGTTTCTTTTACACAGCATAGTATATGGAGCATACTTTTAAATGGTAGGGTGTAATGCGTAGTAAAATATCATTTTTCTCGAGTAAATACAATAATAATCGACTACGTTATTATTGTTCACTCGTATCGTAGATGTAATACCTTTTCTTAGAAGTATGCTCTGCACATAAGGGGAAACTTTTCATTTGATACATTTTTGTATTTTTACGTATTATTATAGATTAGAAATGTGCACAAATTTTTATTCACGTAATTAGGATAACACTAATTTATTTAATGAGAAGTCTCCCAGATATACAAAGAAAGTCCTCACGTTAGATTCAGCATATTCGGTGGCATTTAAGTTTAGGTGCATTCTCTTGTAAATGATTTTTAACGAAGGTAATAACCACACAGATTGACGACTTTAAGTGGTTTTACATGACCACGCTTGCACGTTTTATCAGCGGGTTTTAAATTATTAGTATTTGTACATTGGACCTGATTTAGTGGTGTGCGATTGCCTGCAGGCTTTTAATATGGCTGTATTGCCATTACGATATATACTGCAATTCAATATTATTATGCTTGCATCTAAACCCCAGATATTGTTTCGACGGTTCTTTAAATTGGCCTAACTTAATGAGAAAAGAAAAATTTTAGTTTTATGTTTCTTGGTTGTTCTTGTTTGTATTAACATTTATTGGTAGAGAATCA